CCCGGACGTTCAAGTCCCTATCTCGCAGACACGTCCGTTAGATAGTGGTTACGCAGTATGGAAGCTATGTTGAGCCCCGTTATAGGGGAACCTGTTCAGCCCAATGTCCAGATGATGCAGATGATGCAAAGCAGAAACTCGCATTTCTTGCATCCCTAAAGCCTTCAAGATACCCAACATTAGCACGAAAGCACTTTAAGCCGGTTCCAAAAACGTGAAAAACACAGGATTCTAGAGCAAAACTGGCCCCCGCCCCCTCCCCTAGCTAAAGCTATTGTATACTGACGATACTAACGGATTGCAAGCACAGCCCTATAAAACGCCTCAGCACCTTCGGTGCGGGCGGATTTATACGAAGACAGACAGCATTGATCATGGTGAGGTCGGCTTTACTGACAGGGAGCGCTTGTTGGGTGACAGAGCTCTTTCGCAGATCAAGCGCGGTACCAAAAGTGAGCCATTCCAGTTCTAGGGTTAAGAGTCTAAGGTTTAAGTTTATTGAGTGAAGGGAGCGGCCACAAGAATCAAGCAAAGCATGCTTTGGATTTGTGCGCTTAAGAAAAATAATTGAGGTCAAATTCAAAGAATACATGCGCCAGTCTTAGTGAGAATCAAGATACAGGACTACAGGACAATATACAAAGTCCAAATTATGAGCATGATGTTGTCCTTCGCTGAGAGGTCGTAACTTTAAGCATGTGTTGGGACAGAGGCAGGGAAGTGTCTTTCATGAGCACGATGCACAGCGTTCATCGGCCTTCAAGTTCCAGGTTTGATTCTCCAGCAGCTGAGACCGAAAGGCGAGGTGGCGCATTTGAGAATAGAGAAAGGGCATGTTGAGTCGGCTTTTCTCCAAACGGTGAGGCTAACAACAATTCAGGTCAATCCAAGTGCAAGGTGTTTGTCAATGCGAGTGTAGCAGGGTTGCCGCCACATGGCGCTGCCTGACCAGTCTTGAAACAGCGTGATTACAACCTACTGATACAAGCTGACTTACCCTGATATAGTAATTTTAAGATTCATGCCCACACTGGACTGACCCTGGCAACAGGCTTTTCGAAAACGCAAACTGCAACATGCGTTTGGGTGTTTGCATGTGTTTGCTAAAGCAGAAGTGACACACTCCTCTCTCCCTCCATCTTGCCATTTTGCTTGCTCAGGTTTTGGTCAACTTGCCCATTGGCTGCAACTGAGGCAGACAAGCACGTGTTCTGCAGAAGTGATAGACACGGCTCAAAGACTCTTGCAATTAGTTGTACTGTAATCCAGATGTGTTCAAGAACTGCTTTGCCGTCGATCTCACGCACGCATTTGGACAACATGCATGCAGCAAGACAGCCTGGAGAAGGTGCTGTTGCCGTGCTATTCCAGCATGTGTGGGACTGTACTGATTGGGCTGAAGAACATTTAAAGTTATATACCGTGTTCAGGATGGATTCGCTGGATACTCCGTGAGTTTCAAGGGTGAGATGACCACGTTTTCCGCCACAGAGGCAGAGCGGAGCCCCTTGAACATTGAATATTATATGCGAGTGGCGAGTGGAACCGAAGCGGCAAATCATGTCACGATGTCTTCATGTACTGAAGACGCGCACAAAACAGATTCAGTAGATACCCAAATGCAAAAGCCAAGTAAAGAGATGTAACGAGTAAATAAGTAGCTCTTTAATAAGGTCTCAGATGATTCCAGGTGAAACGTCGTGAGGGCCTTCCAAGAAACTTTCTTTTCTCCCCGAACGTGTAGCGAAGGCTTCCCCTTGAACTTTGGGAATCAGGAGAATTTGTCGGTTGTAGTCCATGGTTCGCGCGACGTTGCTTTCGTGTCCGCAACCATCCGCAAGTGTTCATACAGAACTCCCATGTATAGGGCCATGGATGAGCTGGATTCCCTACTGGAGACCCTAAGCCAGAAGTTTGTGCAGGATGAGATCCGGGGTCTCTTCTCTGGCCTGCACGCTGGCTTTTGGACCTCCTTCATTGTGTCGTATGGGGATGAATGGGTTGACCTGATAGCCCAATGGTTCGTTCCGGGAACTGGTTTTTCTGCTCCGAAGGAGGACCATGTGATTCGAGAGAGCCTTTGTGAAGCCACCAACTGCAACCTTCACCTGTGTCCAGGTATCCAGGTGATCTGCGATGGGGAGTTGACATCAGGATCTGACTCGACCCATGATTCCTGAGCGAAGCTACACTTGGGTTCCGCCCTGAACTCTCCAACTCCCTCCCATGGGACTCTGTACATATGCTTGCAGGTTCCTTTTGTGGTTCCAAGCGCTCAACTGGCTACATCAACAAGCTCAATCCATTTGCACTGGACAGGAGATT